GAAGAGTTCTGTGGCTTCGACACTCTCGTCTCCCTTTGGCAGTGGACGCTCTAACTGCTTGAACCGATTAATCGAGTCTTGTGTCAGTCTGCCCTCTCGCATTTCGTTCAGCATATTCGCGAAGACGGGATCTTTCTGACGGAAGACGTGGTGCAGCCCAATCGTGTGCTCGATGCTTGTAGTCCAGGTACCTGCATCGAAAGCGAATTTGGCCTGCCGTCCATTCTCTGGGACAGGAGGTAACTGGAAGAAGTCGCCAGTAATGACAAGCTGAATACCACCAAATGGCCTGCCATTGTTGCGAATCGTGCGAGCGATTGCCTCCAACTTGTCGAACAGATCGCCGTCCACCATGGAGACCTCGTCCATAATCAGTACTTTCGTACGCAACCACCGCTGCTTTGCTTTGGCGTTTCGTCTAATCTTTTTGACCAAGTCTTCTACGGGCTCTTTGCCAAGTCCGATCCCCGCAAAACTATGTAGGGTAACACCGCCAATGTTGCACGCTGCCAGACCTGTGGATGCTGTTACTGCTACTCGATCTGGCTCACGGGCGTATTTCCGCCGTAGCGCTGCGATGATCTCACGAAGCAAGACTGATTTACCAGTACCTGTCATTGTTAGCAGGACCTCAAGCTAATACCCCAGTCCACATACCAGCAGATCCAGTGAAGAAGACGCTCTTCTTGTATTCCGCTACTAGGTTCAACACGTTCTGTTGCTCTTCACTGAGGAATATTTTGTGAATAGTGTTCTTCTTTTTTTTCTTGATCGCCTCTTTCATATCCTCGTCGGTGCCCTGGTGCGCTTTTGCTTGAGCCTTCTTAGCCTCCCTGAGAGTTGTTCGCTGCTGCTTCAGGGCGCTCGCGGTCGTGTTGAAAAACGATTGTGACTTGGAGTCCTTCGCTGGTGTCGAGAAAGGCCTATCGACGGCCTTTGAGACTCTTTTCCTAGGGTGTGTGGTCTCTTCTTGCTCTTCCTCTTCCTGTATAGGTTCCTGCTTCTGACTCTGTGCCCATGGTAAGGTTCTTCGCTTGGACTTTGGTGGATCAGGCCTCTGTGGTGTTTTGTAGTGTGACAAAGGCGATGAAGACCACGGTATTGGCTGGCTACTACCCAACTCTGGTTTCACGTCGGCAGTCTGCGCTCTCGAATTGTATCCCGAGTCGGCCGAGTCATCAGAAGTAACGCGAGGTAACGTAGGGTATGTGACAGTGCCTTTTGTCGCTGGATCTTCAACGTCAAGATCTATGTCACTGTCGAAGTCGTCTTCATCGAACAGGGCTTGCGGTAAAATGCCCGGATTGTTGCGTGATGTCATATGATATGCGGCCGGCAGCTCGTTCTCTTTTTCCGATCCGACAATGGTCATCGTGGGGTATTCGAACTCATCCTCGTGCGAGCTCAGAGACTTGGCCAATCCGCTCGACGTCCTCTTGGTTCCTTGTGCAGTTGTCCCAACGGGTGTTTTCGTCCCACTTCCTACAGGACGCGTCGATGATGTCTGCGATCCAGTGCGATCAAGGACGCTTCCGAGCGAAGCCTGTTTGTAGGCAGTGTTTGTGGGCGAAGCAGACGCGATGGCATTGTGGTTCTGCACCGCCGACTTGAACATGGTAGTTGTTGTGTGGGGGCGAGAGGAGAGGTAGCCGAAGTCGTGGCGAGGCGAGGTTGTAGGCGAAGTGTTCGGCGGCTGCAGAGGTGATGTCGAGAAACGCGTACGAGGAAGGTGCGTAAGGGACCGTGTTGGAGGCGAATGCGTCCGAGCGGGATGGATGCAAAAGAGCGACGACCTTTTGGGATTGTACGGTTTAAGCGACGCACCTCTCTTCCCGAGGGTGACAAGCATACAGCAAACAAGGAGAGCGCCGACAAAAAGAAAGGATTAGCGAGATGATGTCGAGTGTCTGCATACCATGCGGCGCGGTGGGGTGTGAATGTTAGCATCAATTAGTGTTCGGACCCACAAAACGCGACACGACGTCTCAATCAGGAAGCGCTAGTGCAGTCCATCACGTGCGGGTATCCCAACGGTGTTTCTGCGGTGTATCTACAAAGCTTGATAGGACATGCAGGACCCAAGCATCTTGACGCAGGTACACGCTCTGATGGACTAAGCCACACTCAGGTACCTGTCAGTGCAACTCTATGACGTACGTAGTACGTAGTGCAGGTCTTACAAATCACGAGAGAATCATGTAACACGCTCCCAAGGTTACTGCTTCAAAGTCTCATATCAATATATTACGCCTCCAGACTACCAAGTAATTCATCATGAGTACTATGCTAGTCAACATACTATTCCAACCCATCAGCGACGACCAGCATACGCCGCGAGAAATAAGCTTTTGGTATCAACCAGAACCCGCTTTGGTATCAATAAGAATTCGCTTTGGTATCAAGAAGAGAATTCGCAAGAAGAGTCAACGTCATAATAGATAGTGAAGGGGTAATCAGAGCCGAAGCCTGTAGCAACAGAAAACTAACACGAGATAGGAGATTCATTTTGAACCAAACGACCGTAAACCATATCCCACAAGAAATGTGCCAACCATGCCATAAGACAACAACGCTCGCACCATTTTGGACAACGGAATTAAATAACGACTCCCTAAGAACATAAGACCAAGTAGCTGATGAGATATGACCAGAAATCGGAGCTATCCAAAATAGCGCCCCCGTAAACAACAGGCGTGTTGGAACAATAGAGGGCACAGGGCTGAACGGAACAAATCTTAACAAATAGGGTGCTTAGCCCTGGTATCCTCCAAAGCCATTCTGGTTGAATGCTGCCTGAGGAGACTGGCCCCACTGTGGCTGTTGGGGAGCGCCGCGGCCATAGCCACCAGCGCTGCCTGGCTGCTGCATCTGTTGCTGGTAGGGCATGCCAGGGTTGCCAAAGGCTTGCTGCTGCTGCGCGAAGGGTTGTCCGCCGGGGCTGGGTCCTGCCCGCGCATTAGATTGCTTGTTTCGATACTGCAGCTTCCTCCGGTGCCGCTCACCTGAGGGTGACATGGGACCACCTTGTGGCCCACCACCATACTGAGGAAAGTACGCGCTCGGCGTCTGAGGATAAGCTGAGTTGGGACCGCCTGCAGGCGAGTAGCCCTCAAACTGGCCAGTCGGAGGACGATCTTTGCCCCACTAGATTGGAAATGTGAGCTAAGAAATAAAACAAAAGAGAACGGTTCAACCTACGCTGCACTTCAGAGGACGGCCATTGACGTTGTAGCCGTTCAGCTGGCAGATGGCCATGGCAGCATTCTCATGAGTGTCCATTTTGATAAAGGCAAATCCACGGTCAGACTGGAAACGCGTCTCGGTGACATACCCGAAGTTCTGGAAAAGCGGCACTAGGTCAGATTGAGAGGTGTAAGGAGTGAGGTTTCCAACGTAGCATGTGGTCTGCCACTGGGGCGTCTGAGCAACAACCATATCGTAGCTCTGCACGCCATGGGTGGGGAAATGGTGATGTCCGAACGGGGTGGTCGGCGTCATGCCCATGGAAGCCATGGCCTGCTGCTGAGAAATGGAAGGTTGCCCTTTCTGGTTGGCCCAGTTGCAGCGGATAGCGCGAGAGCCAAGCCACTCTCCGTCCATGGAGCTAAGGGCGCGATCAGCATCGGCGCGATCCCTAAAGGCAACGAATCCGTAACCACGCGACCTGCCTGTCTTCATGTCCCACATGACGCGGGCCTCGGAGACGGGACCAAAGGTAGAGAAAGCCTGGAGGAGAACCTCGTCATTGACCTCGTTGGACAGATCACCGACAAAGATGTGGAAATGGTTAGAAGTGTCTTCTTTGGCTGTGTTGTTAGATTGGTAGGCCCAGTTCACACGAATTTCCTGTGCGAGTCAGAAAAGTAAGTGGTTGTGCCAACGGCCAAGCTTACGTTGTTGTGGATGCGCCGGCCGTTGAGAGTGGCCATACCACGCTCAGCCGCGCCGGGGTCATCATACTCGACGAATCCGTAGTTGAAGCCCTTGGAGTTGAACTGTTAGCGGTCAGCGGCACTTGAATGCTGCAACATATGCAAGATAGGCCCGGCCAGCTGTCAAGTCATGCAGCGGGTGCGGAGTGTTATCTTACAGAAGGAGAACTTGCAGTTTTGTCTGGAATAATCTTGACGCTCTGCACATGGCCAGTCGTCTCGAAAATCTGACGCAACACGTCCTCGGTGACCCGCGGATCCAGTCCACCAACGTATAGCGCCCGCTTGTTGGGCTCGGGGGCGGCGCGACGGGGGACGTAGCCAGGCTGGCCGCTGGTTGGGGACATGGGGTTGCCCGACATGGGCGAGCTGATGGCGGTCGGGATGGGGTTGTTATTCTGGGGGATGATGACGGGTGCAAGCGGCGGCGGCGGCATGTGCTGCTGCGGTTGGCCCTGGTTCTCGTAGCCGGGAGCGCCAGCGGAAGGGGGAGGAGGGAGCTGTGCCCCGGGGTTCTGTTGGTCGGCCATGGCTGTCGTCGCGAAGAGGCGCACAAGACAATTGTCGCAAGAGGCGCAAGTGACGGCTGCGGGTATCGAACAAGTGGGCGGTGATGCGACGGTCGAGGTGAAGGCGACAAGGCCACGGGGAGGGTCGACGCTGGCGGGCGGGGTGAAAGCTGCTGGGTAGGCGGCAAGGAAAGTCGAAATAGAAAGCGCGACTAATGCTACCAATAGAGAGCGGACTGCACTAGGAAAGGCAAGGGAAAACAAGAGGAAGAGAGATAGGAGAGACGAACGCTGCGCCGAGCTGTGACGGCAAAGCTATAATCTCCACTGTGGGGTGAAGAAGGAGAGGTGTGAGAGGTGAGCGGGCGAGGGTCGAAGAATTAGCGCGGCAGGCCACAAGGCACCCGAAAGAGCGGGAGCTATGAACGTAGTACCGTACCGCTAGCCTGAGAAGCTAGCGGACCCTCCTGCACCTGCAGTCCCGCTGCCAGCTCCGGCCATCACATTGACGCGCCTCGTACCTTGTCGCGCTCCGCACCTCATCACAGCATATCCCATCATGGCCAGCGTCATGGCTGCCAATCAGCATATGGAGACACTCCAGACCATGCTCAACCTCGTCTACCTCAATTCTGGTCGCTTTCTGAAAGAACAACAGGCCGGCGGCGGCACTGGTCGCATGAAGCAACAACTGCAGCACCTCGTGCCATCCGCTACTGAGCGCTTCCACGATGCGCTCGACGAGCTCGAGAACGAGGTCCGTCTAGCGCAAACCGTCCTGCGCAGGGACATGGCGCTGCTCAAGCAAGATCGCAAGAAGAAGGAGGAGGAGGCCGCAGCGAAACAGCACGAGGTGGAGAAGGCGCGACTTGCCGCAGAGTCAAAGAGTGCGCCGGTCCCAGTTGAGGAAGCGCCTGTGAAGGTTGAGAAAGCCGCGACGCCAGCACCGCCCGAGCCACCAGCAGAGCCAGCACAGGACGCGCCTGAGCTAGCGAGCGCAAAGGAGCCTGGGCCTGAGGCGGACGAGGCTCCTAAGAAGGAAGAAGACACAAAGGCGCCACCACCCCCGCCCATTGAGACCGACATGGAGCCGCAAAGAGATCCGCTCTTCGACGGCACGCCCACCACCGGCAATGCTCAGGAATCCGAGTTTGACTTCGATGCCATGTTCGGCGACGCCATGGACACGACTGGCGACAACACCCACAACGATATGATGGACACTTCGGGCGACATGGACTTTACCCTCGACGACGGGAACGACGGGCCTTCGCTACTACGCGGTCTCGAGGACTTCGCCAAGGATAATGATGACGACAACCCGAACCAGACTTCGAATATGGACATTGATTTCACCATGCCAGACCTGCCAGGCTTAGACATGAACACCGAGGCGAATACGAACACAAACGACGACGCGACTGCTGCGAAGCCTGCAGAACCAGAGCCAGCACCAAAGGTGGAGGAGTCCAAGCCTGCCGCAGAGCCACCTACTGAAGAGAAGAAGGAAGAATCGATTACGACTACAAATGACGAGATGATGGGCACCATGGCTACAGACGACCTCGAAGATCTTTTCAATATGGACGAGTACGAGAACCCTGAGCAGTCGCAATTCGATGATGCGTTCTTCAATTTTGAGTAGCTTGTCTTTTATGCGTATGGCGTTATTTACGGCTTTGTAGCGCTGGACAGCGCCTTTGGGTAACATAAGGATATGGGTGGCGTACTACGTTGAGACGGCGTACTGTAATCATTTTGATACCCCAGCATATCCAGGAAGTGTTTGTAAAAGACTACAACTAGACATAATACTAACCTGATATAACGACCAATATGGCACTCTGCCTATTCCAAATGGCACTGCCCGAGTTTGGTCAGATATTACTTCGTGCAAGTGAAGTGTTAACTTGTTTTCCACATTCACAAAACAACCCCTATTCAAAGTATAACTGGTTTGTGGACTCAGTCGCCGTGGATTCGAAGGATAGTTTGAAAGCTCAAGACATTCACTTGGCCATGATGGTTTATCGTCTTGTCCGAGATTCAAATCTACGAAGCCCCCGCACCCAGCTTGATTTCTCCCTCAAACCCATTCACATGCATAAAGTTTGCCCGTAGTGGAGTCACACTGGTAAAGCCCTGCGCGACCGCCCATCCATCATTGCCGGGCTCACTGGCCTCAACACTCTCATACACATCTTTGAAAGTCGGTGCCCATTTGAAGTGCTTGTGTGTATACCGCATATGGGCCTGACCTGAAGGCGTTTCTCGCCCACTGTCTGTGCCCGACACTCCACCTTGTATTTCAGAGTTCGCCTTCAGCTCCTTCTTCCCAAACTTCTCCTCTTGTTTGCGTATCTGACCCTCAATGTCTGACGGTGTGTCGTCAGCTTCGGACGGTACTTCGACGACTTGGAAACAGCTTCCGCTCTTCCACGAGTTCTGCAGCATGTTCGTCCATAGGATCTTGCGCTCTCCAACGTTTTCAACCAGCGGTACGTTGACGGTGTAAAGGTGGGTATTTGCATCCCAGTGATCCCACAGATGTTTTATGAGTTTAGCGCTGAGCTCGCTGGCATCGCTGATGATCTTGGCGTCGTGGTTGCGGTCGAAGAATGCGTACGAGAGGGCGATGGACTTCATGCCGCATACTGCTGCCTCCATTGCGCCACCAATTGTGCCCGACGATAAGGAAAAGATGGCAGTGCTGTTGCGACCGTAGTTAGGGCCACTGACTACGAGGTCAATCGGGCCGCGGTCTGAAAAGTAGTGGTAGAGACCGATCTGTACGCAGGAAGCAGGCGTCGAGTCGACGAGCACCCATTCTTCTTCGTTCGATGAGGATGGCAGAGGGGAGTTGTGCGTTGTGCCATGGTTCGTGAGACGCCCTTCAGCGTTTGTTTGGAGGGGCGCGGGGCGGTAGTATGTCGGTTGTATCTGGGGCAGTGAGAATAATGATCGATAGTAGAGGTGGCCTCGTATCACATACGGATTTGCCCACAAGGTGTGCTTTGCCTATCCATGACCTCTGTGTATGCGGGAGAACGACTGACACGGTATGCCCATGCTTCTGTAGTGTTGACACCAGCGAATGTACGTAGGGCGAGGACTGATCTGATGGTGGACCATCATCGTTGGTGACCTATGGCTATCAGCGTCTGCCATTGGCTCATTCAGATATGGTATTCTCACAAGAATATGCATGATGACTTATGAGGGACGATGATGCAGAGTTTGGTAACAACGTGTTGTAGATTGGAGATCGAGAGATGCAGAGGGGCAGACAGTGATGCGCGCTACCAATAAGTCCGAATCCCGCAGCAGACAGTCACCGCCTCATTCTTTGCATCAACACCTCTGCGCTCTTAGATTTGTTTTCGCATGGCCGTTCCTCCAACGGCCTCCAACGTCGTTGACGAACGCTGCAGGTTGATGGCAATGTCCGTGTCCCATCGACAACGGTACCTGCGCCATGGGTAGATCCGCTGGCGCTCCCTGCATCGTGCCGACGATCAGGGCTCGACCAGCGGAACCTGAGATACCCAAGTCGTACATGTCAGGAACACAGGAAATTCTGAAATGTGCTGCTGGTACAGTTTGAAGTATTTGCCATGTCGGACTTCTTCTCGCATCTCCATTGCAGGTCTCAACACCCTCACTCGGGGGACAACCGTGGCCCCTCCTCCTTCCGACGTCCGTACAACAGCCGGCACTTCGTCAACGACATTTGAAACGGGACTGCAGAGTCTACCGGGAGGTTTAGCTGTGTGTAGCTAAAACGACCAGAGCTTCGGGCGCGAAGGTGTAGAGCCGCAGGTCCCTGAAGCAGCTATTTTCGGTGTTCGTTTCTTCGGATCCCCGCCCGCGGCCGCCTACCGTGAAGACCATCGTTTGAGACCGAATAGCGAAGACGGTTATAAAGAGGTGGTATAACATGAGAAACATAATCAATATACCCAATTCATTCTCACGTTAGCATTTCAACAGCTTTAAGTTTCATACCTTGAAGTCTCCAATCTCGTTACACACTCATCTACACCCACCTAAATACCTACAGACTATCAAAATGGTCATCAACGTGCCCACTGCCTCTCTTGAGGGACAAGTCGCTCTCATCACTGGTGCCGGTCGCGGTATTGGAAGGGGCTGCGCCATCGAGCTCGGCAAGCGCGGTGCTTCCGTCATCGTCAACTACGTCTCATCCGAAGGCCCAGCAAACGAGGTCTGCGAAATCATCAAGGGCTTCAACAACGGAGCCAAAGCCATAGCCATCAAGGCCGATGTCAGCAAAGTCAGCGAGATCAACAGATTGTTCGAGGAGGCGAAGAAGGCGTTCGGCAAGATCAACATCGTCATGAGCAACTCAGGAACTGAGAGTTGGGACGTAACGGAGGAGATCAGTGAGGAGAAGTACGATCACGTATTCAACCTGAACACACGAGCACAGTTCTTCGTCGGCCAAACCGCGTACAAGCACATTGAGGACAACGGCCGCATTATTCTGATGAGCTCCATCGCAGCTGGTCTCCTCGGTGTAAAGGACCACGCCCTTTACAATGCCTCTAAGATGGCTGTTATCGGTTTCATCAAGGCGTTTGCGACCGACTTCGGAAAGCGCGGTATCACCGTCAACGGTGTCGCACCTGGTGGAATCAAGTCAGACATGTTCACACAGAATGCATGGCATTACATCCCTGGCGGTTCGCCTGACTGGCCAGCGGAGAAGATCGAGACCCTTATGGCAAACCACTGCCCACTCGGACGGTGTGCGGTACCTGAGGATGTTGCCAGGGTCGTTGCGTTCCTCGCTTCAGAGGACGGCGGTTGGGTTAACGGCCAGGTCCTGACCATCTCTGGTGGCTCGTCGCAGTAAGCTGTTGAAAGCAGTGATGATTGGACGATGGTAGCATATGTTTTCTTGCAGCGTATCTTATAGAGACACGAGTTCAGAGCCAACGCTCGAACAAAACGAATAAATCATACTGAACTGCATTCCCGTGTGTCCCTTCTTGCGTACATGTATTACTTCGTAGGTGTCGATGTGTAGTTGTCGATGGCGAATGAGCGTATGTGCGCGATCGATGGTAAGAGCACAATTTGCCAGAACTCTGACGTCATCAAACGCGACTGCGCAACGCTATCACGTGGTTCAACCTTCACATACCAACGACTTATACGATATTTATCAGTAAGACCTCTTATCACCATCTGACTGCAAATTGTGCGTCTGTCCGGGATGGTTCTTGCTTGAAACATATTTGAAGCCGACCATAATGACCTCCACCCCGCCTTGTTTTCGTTTCCCGTCGTACCTTGGTTTCATTACCTCAACCTAGTTGGAGCCATCATATTGTATGCCCGACTTCCAGAGAAACTCACGGTTCACAACAATTTGTCAATCGTGTCAAAACTGTACTTTGTAGCCATGTCAAGGTGTCTATAGTTACGTCAGCTAAACAACCTTCCATACATCAGTGCCGACGTATGAGTGTTACATCACGGCGAAACTACGAACATAAAGCAATTGTACGAGCTTCTCGAAACGCTACCCCAATGTCCAATATCTCAACCTCGTGAGCAAGCTGTCAAGACGCGGAGGTCTACTGTGATATTCTCTGAACCTTACGTGAGATTGACGTGACTGTAAAGGGGTCGTCTATTACTAGATGAATGTTGCTCCGCAAAGACGTCCTACACTGAATTTTAGTAGGTTTCACCCCAAGCTGTTCTTCACATCCTCAACGCTTTATCAAGACTCTGCGGCTACCCATTTCACAAAAATACCGATACTTACCTACCACAAACTCTGTAACCCAAGTACAGTCTATCGGAAGATCGAACGGCTTCGTTTACAACCTCACATTCTCGGCCCCCACACGGCGTAATGTACAACTTCTACAACGCCACATATACTCTCTGCAGACATACACTAATCGAACAAACACAACAGTTCGGGAGACATGTTCAGTCTGCAATGGTGGGTAGAGCCAGAAGATTGTATGACAAGGAGAGCGGAATGAAGGAAGAACAGGTATAGTCTAAGCTGTTTATTGGGTATATAAAGACGTGAATCGCGCTTATTTGCGAACAGCCTGCTGAGCATAAGCTCGGAGCAGATGTGTAAGAACTAGTATACAAAATTGATCATCCCTCGTTTGTTCATGCCATGAATACGCAGATCGCTAAACGCCTTGGTAATCAGAGTGATGGGTATGTAGAATCGTAACGCCGTGATAAGTCCTAAGCCTCAAACCGTAGGCTCGTCGGGTGTCTTGCCCGCGCCTTCACTCTCAGCCTCTGGACTCTCAGGCTCCAGCTTAATATCCTTTTCTGAGTATTTACTCGTGGCTTTGGTCGGGTCTGCCTCTTTGTTGGCAGCACCAACAACTTCCTCAATCATGGCGGCAAAGTCAACAGTCATACCGCCGACGTTCATCTTGAGCAACGTAGCGGCATCTGGTCCGTCATCTCCATCTACACTACCACGCCTGGAGCCATTCTTCATGTCCAACATCATGGTTTCGTTGTCGAAGATGTTATCTCCACTCCATAATCCCACAGTAGACGTGTTTGGATCTTCGTAGAGGTCAAAACCAAGCCCCAGCGAGCCGTTCTTCGATGGCGAGCTGCTCGCAGGCATGTCACTGGAAAGAAAGTCGTCAGGTAAAAACTCGCTAAATTGAGCATCAGTGCGACCGGGCGTGGTGAATGTAGGGAAGGCTGAAAAATCAATAGCCTGGGAAGGTGACGAGATTGGGTGGTCAGACAACAGCGCGTTGAGTTGACGGGTGAACGGCGTGTCGGGTGCAGCTGTTGCCGCACGTGTGGTACGAGGAGTCAGGATATTACGGGATGGCGTCGAAGGCGCATCTCCGTTCCCTACACCTCGCCTCGGTGTCAGGGCAATGCGTTTGCGCGTGCTTGGAGTAGGGGTCTTCAAGGGGTCTTGGGCTATTTGGTCCTTCTTAGGTGTGCTCTTCGGCGTAGTCTTTGGCGGGGCAGAATCCTCGAAAAGATGGGCCAGTTCATCTGCCTCTGCAGTAGGAGGCGGGCAGTTCTCCTTGTCAGGGTTTTCTTGATCAACGGTAGCCACTTGCACCACAGGTTGCTCGAACCAATACGTTTGCTTTGTCACACATGGAATGCAGCCGTCGTGACCTATACCAGCGTTCTCGCAACGGCCACATGGTCGCTCACGGTCACAGCCTCTCTTGAGCTCCTTGCATCGTTGACAACGGGGCTTCTTAGGTGCGTCATCGTCAGGGAGGTACATTGGAGTGGCGATTGGCTCAGTGACAGGGGCAGGTGGTGGTTCAGCCAGAGTCTTGCGCCGACCTTGCTTCCTAGGTGAAGGAAAAAGCAGTCGCCTTGTAGGCTTCGGCGTAAGATCTTGGTCGATTTCGATGGGAGATGCCTTGCTTCCTCTTACTCCGACAGGGCTGGACTCAAGGGCTCGTTCCAGAGCAGCCTGTGCAGCTTCAGAATCAAGTCCACGCGCGCTAGGCGCAACAACTGGTGGTGCCATCGTCCCGTCATGAGTCCTATCGATAGATGAAGCACTCTGCTCTTGTTCAGCAGGCATGGCAGGTTCAGACTCAGGCAAGACAGCGTCAGACATGAGATCGTCACCACCGCTCATAGACTTAGAGCGTGCTACCTTCTGCTGCTTCTTTCGGTTTGCGAGGCGCGCAGCTCTATCCCACACCTTCTGCGGTCTCATCGAAAACTTCTTGATAAGCCAGAGTCCACATGGGTTGCACAAATTGAGCTCCTCGAACGCATCAGAGGACTTTGCAGCTACTATGTCCTTGTCTTCGCGCGTCAGGTTGTTCTTGAAGATGCGGTATTTTAGTTCGCCATCCTCAGATGTCGGTTCGATTACTTCATATGCGATAATGTCGGTGCCAGCTGAGTCAGTGGATAGCTCGATGTCTTTGGGCGAGCCTTTCTCCACACGTGTATAAGCTTTCCTCCATGTGACTGTGTCGATCTCTCCGCAGTTTACACAATGGGTTGGCATTTCGCCTTTCCGGATAGCCGCATCGAGTTTGTTCTTGATAATTCTTTTCCTCTTCGCACCTGATCCACTTCGGGGATACCCGTATTCTGACGGTGTAGGTGCATCAGACATAGGCTCAGCTCCAGACCATGTATGAGACCTGGGAAGTCCTCTTGGCTTGGACGACTTTGTTTGCTTCGGGGGA